CCGGGACACCTGCGGGAGACGAACGGTACGAGAGAGCTATGCACCTCACCATCTCCTTACCCAGAGGGGGTCTCAAGCTGTTGATGTGCCCAGAGTGGTGGGATGCTAGGATCCACCGGCAATTCAGGATACATTTGATGGTAGCCCAGGACGAGTGGCCCTTTTCTTAGGCCAGGTGTTACATCATATGGATCGTTATGGCCAGATGTATATGTCACAGTTGGTCATGGTGATGGGCATGATGACAGTGATGGATGGAGGGGCTGATGACAGAGTGGCTGATCTATATTGAGATCATACTGTGGAACTCATGGACATTGGTCTGTTCCTGATGGCATTGCGGGAGAGATTTGAAGATACCAGCAGGATCCAGCAGGCGGAAGCAGAATTGTGGGCTACAAGACAACAAGGGAAGCCAGTAGCTGAATATATCAGAGAGTTCTGGTGTCTCGTCAGTAAATTGAGGATGTGGTCAGAGAGGTTGGTGGTGCATTACTATAAGGCTGGTCTTGACCAAACACTACGCCAGGCCTGCGTCTATAGAGGGTTGCCACCTAGACGGACTGCATGGTTCCAGGCCACCATGGAATTAGCTATAGAGTTCCATGAGAATAAGCCAGGAAGGGAGAGGATTTATTCATTGCCTTAGTTCTTTGTTGGTAAGTGCGTGCTGAAGGAAGACTACAAACTGCATTTCAAATCATTTCTCTTTTTGACTGGTTTCATTAATCCTTCGGAACCCGACACATCTATTGCAACTGATCTTGGATCGCTTTGGATTGCCAGTTGTGGACCTATTTGCCACCCCAGACAACACACAGCTCCCCTGCTTCTCTGTGAGGTTTTGGATGCAAGGGGATGGAGGGGACAGATGCTCTCTGATGTTGATGGTTGCCTGGACTTCTTTATGCATTTTCCCCACTGCCCCTGATTCCTCGGGTGTTGTGCAAGGTGATCACTGAAAAAGCAGAGGTGATTCTGGTGGCCCCTCATTGGCCATGATGGCCGTAGTTCACCAACCTACAGACCTTTTCAATGGCCAGACCTGGAGGATCCCTCAGGCCAAGGATGCTCTCAGCCAGGGGTCGCTGGAGCATCTGGACCCTCAGTGGCTCCAGCTGACTGCCTGGAGCTTGGGCAGAACTATCTAAGGGAGGACAATTTTTTCTCCAGGGTCATAGACATGATCCAGGCCTCCAGGAGGCCCTCCGTGATTCTCATATATGATGCTACACAGCACAATTTCTGTAAATGGTGTGAAGCCAAGACCATTGATCCTACAACTGCTTCAGTACTCCAGGTATTGGAATTTCTCCAAGACGGGCTGGAGAAAGGGCTATCACCTAATACACTGAGGAGGCAGGTAGCAGCTCTGGCCACTATTTTGACTTGGATGGGGGACAACCTTTGTCCCATCACCTGACTGTGAGGAGGTTCCTAAAGGGTGCGGTCAATTTGAGACCATCGGTAGTACCTCAAGTAAGATTTGCCCAAGGTTTTATCAGATTTAATTGGGGGGGGGGGGCTTTGAACTCCTCTGGTCTGTTGAACTGCAGTTCCTTATGTGGAAAGTTGCCTTCCTGGTGGTTATCACCTCCACCAGGAGGATCTTAGAACTGCAGGCTCTGTCTGTGAGGGAGGATCTTTGCACACCAATAGGGTGGTCCTATGGGTAGATCCTTCATTTATACCCAAGGTTTCCTCCTGATTTCACCGGGCCCAGGAGGTCATTTTACCCAACTTCTGCTCCTCACCTAACCATCTTTTGGAGAGACAGTGAACAAGCTGGAAGTGCAATGGGCCCTTAAAGTCTACATCAGTCACACTTCTGACTTTAGGAGGTCAGAAGCACTTTTTGTATCATTCCAGTCCACGATGCTAGAATAGAAGGTGACCTCCTCAATTATCTGCAGCTGTATAGCTAGGGCATACAATTCACAGCATGAGCCGGTGCCTAGAGGTATAACTGAGCACTCTACGAGAAGTGTGGCTACTATGGCAGCCTGGGCAACACAAGCCTCTCTCAATGAGATCTGCAGGACGGCCACCTGGGCTTCACCTTCCCCGTTCATTACCAACTATAACAGTGGTGGGTTGCAGGCGGTACGTCCCAATACAGGCGTACCGGAGCCTGCCCAGAGCACTGTGTACCGTTCTGGTATGGTGCTCCAGAGGGCACACTTACCTGCCTGAGCTCCTTACCTGTCCTTTAAGACTTTGGCGCTTCCACGGACGGCACGTACGGTGCCTGCGTGACACTCCACTGAACAGCTGGAGCATCATGGAGGCTTGCGGAGGCATTGTAGGCAAGTACGACACATGCACACACTGTGCACACACCACACACGTCCATGTGGGCGACGCCGGGCCCATTCCAACAGGTACAGTTGGAACGTGATCCGGAACCCACCACTGAACTATAAATTAGATAAATTTGCATCCGCAGAGGTGTCATTTGGCCGTGCGGTCTTACAGACTGTTCATTCTGCAGCACCTGTTCCAGATCAGTCTCAATCCCTCCTGTAGGGACAATAAGGCTTGGGTATGTCCCATGCATGGATATTATCTCCACCTCTTTGGGAAAGGGTGTTGGTACTTACGTGATTCGCTTCTTCTAATGGGGTGGAGATAGCATTCATCTCCTCCCTTCTATAGGACTGATCT